CTTTTGGGGGGTTATTTACTTGTTAATATAAATATGAAGCATTGACCTAATGTTTATTAAAAATAAGCTATAATTACTAAGAATTGATGATAACACATATGGTGATGGAGGGTCAACACTATTCGATCTATAAATTTTCTTAGAAAAAACACATTTATCTTTTATATGTTACAATAGTATAAAAACAAAAATCAAATGAAAAAAGAGGATGGTTCTAAATTTGTTATTTTTTTTTTGATAAATGTAGTATATTTCTAAGCAAAATAAATTATTTTTGAAAAGGAGAAACCAAGTTAATCCCATTTATCATTTTACAACATTTAAGCAAAACTTAGACAGTCACAAAAATAGCCATCATTTTTTGCAGATGTCACATGCAAAGTTGAGTAGCATATTTTAGGACCGGGGGGTGGGGGTGGGGGTGGGGGAGGGGGGATGGGTTTGTAATTAGACTTGAGTAATACATAGACAATGTCTACGAAATCTTATAAAAATGATGAGAAATCCCTTTTGTTAGATGACTTATACAAAATGATAAATGTCGTATGATAAAAGAGATTTATCACCTTGTACGTGCAAAATTGTAGATGTCATTTGCGAACTTGCAGGTTTTTTGAGAAAAATATGTATTTTCCTTTTATCTATACTACAAATTCTAACATTTGTATTGAGAAATATGACATCCATACTGTGAAATCAACATCCATACAACAAATTTAAGAAAAAAAAGTAATGATTTTTTATAAGTCCTACTGTTGAAACATTATAAAATTCAATAAAAGACCTCTAGTATCATTTATTTAGGAATAAACAACACTACAAACCTGACCGGGTATTTTGTTGTTTCTTGTATCGGTGGTTCATGGCATTCAATAAATAGTGAAACTCAATATGTTATATCTTTTGCTAAGAACTACAATATAAAAAATTTATCAGATGTAAACTTATCTAATTTATTAAATTTGGTCAAATTGAAGACGAGCTTGGAAGACAAACCAAATATCTACTTGTCTTTCCAACATTGCAATATGTTATAGATATAGTGGATGTGAGTGATGTAAAACAATTGAAAACATTATATAGAAAGCCTCAATAGTTGTACATATGAAAGATGCCCTGATTCTTCACAAAAAATGCAGTTAATCAATTAATTGTTGGTAGGAACTGATTTGGCATAAAAGGATCCTATAGGAAATGATCTAGCAGAAGAGAAAAGGGCTCCAGTGATAACCAATCTAGCAAAAAAGGTAGCAAAAATCAAGTTTATAATATTATGTCATAAAGTGTTCCTCAATATCCTAGTGTTGGTGATGATGATCTTGCTACATGTGACAATGTTGCTCCTACATGTGATAATGATGTTGGTAAAGATGTTATATATGTTGGTAAACATGATGATACAAATTACTGAGAAGAAATTCCGCTTGTGGATGATACCGACCTACTTCCTTATAGGGAGCCAATAAATTTTTATATAGGCCTTTTTGACCTTGAAAATGGTAATTGAATGGTCAGATGATGAATAAAAATATATAAAAACATCATTTTATGGTATGCATGCTACACCATCATGTTTAGGTCCGGTATATACAACTATTCCGTCACACAACCAAACCCTATCACAGATGATTAAAAACATATTAACATTCAAAAGCAAAGAAGCTTTTTCAACTAACATTAGGGGTGAAAAGTGTTCATGAAGAACATCACTACAAAACAATTGGATCTTTAAAAGTAGTGTTTCAAGCATCATGTTACTAGGAAAAATGTACTTAGCATACTTTGGTTCTGTGACCGGAGAATACTGGCATGTTCTAGGTCTGAAACCTTGTAGAAGAACACACTTGTTATTCAACATAACTATAACATTCCATTTTCACAAACAATTTTGTTCATTTTTAATTAACACAAAACACCATTTCCATAAAACCCAAGTTAAGAAAACCCATTTATTCCGAAATACAATTGTTTGAAAATCAGAGTAATATAATAAATGCGGAATTTTCAATTAGGTTGATAAGTGTGTACAGCCATGCCTTTGCCTTCCCATGATCACCAATGGTACCTAAAAACATTTAATCCATAATTGTAAGTCAAAGCTTAGTGAGTTCCCCCAAAATACCACACACTACAACATACGTACAATGCATGAACACACGAGCCTTCAGTCCGATTGGACCGCCTCGCGAGGCCTACAGTATACTTGGATCGCTCTCCTGGGCCTCCAGTCCACTAATGGTACCCTTCCTACACCTACAACATACAGTTGGTCTGCATCTGGCCTACAACACATCGTTGGCCTTGCCCGAGTTTTTTGGCCAACCGCACAAAGTAGGACCGCCTCAACCCAACACCCTATATGTCGACAGATAAATCAAACAAGAAATCATTCAAGAACATAAACACATGTAATAATCTACACTAGTCTACCTGTCTAACAGCTCACTACCGCATACCGGACCTCATACAGTACTCTACGTCGCCACTAGCAGATCACTAATGAATGCATAACTATATGTAATCAGAGGTAAGATAAATAGTCGAGCTGGTGATCCCACTCTATAGCCACAACCAAACAAGGAACATACAATAAATCCTAGATCAATATATCTCAGGTTATCCTACATGACTACATACAACCCCTAGGGCACTCAACTAGACGATCACCAACCTCCTGGCACTCTAACTAGCATATCACTACTCCTATATCCTAACATATAAGGATATATATATATATATATATATATATATATATATATATATATATATATATATATTGTAACACATAGTATAATGAGGAAACTCACCTGAATCGAAGACCCAAGGAACACAACAACATCCACAATCCCTACACCAATCGCTCCGACGAATCGACTAGCACCAAACAAAGACAGATCCTTAATCAATAACCCAAGTCCTTCAAGTTTTACCCAAATTCAAATTGATCAAAAGTCAACGGTCAATAAAAGTCAACGATCAACCAGATCAACGCTCAACACAACATGGAGACCTCTTGGCCACGCCGTGGGTATGTCAGGAGAAAACAATCAACATGCAGGATCCCGCCACGTCGTGGAAATCCCTTGGACATGTCGTGGTTTCTGGCAATATGTCATACTATTCATTAAGTGCTTAATCCCTATAGACCTAAACCCATAACTTCAGATCTGGTCCATTTCAATGACTTAATAGATAAAGCTTCCAACTTTATTCATTAGAACTCAACCATAAGGAAAGATCTACAATTCTAAGTCCAATGTGACTTAAACTTGTTCATGGACACGAGATGACTGCAAACATGGCTCTTTTCTCAATCATCAGAAACATAGAAACCATAAGAGGACCATAACAAGCTTGGGAGTTCCTAAAACTCCAAGAGCATCCATGAAAGGGACCAAAGCTACCTAAAATGATCCCAAACCTGAATCTAGAAGACGAAATGCCAAGGTATGAACATTATACCTCAAATAGCTCAGAAATCAAAAGAGAATAATGGATCCAAACCAGCTCCTTGCTTCCTTGCACCAATGTGAACTTCCTTCTTCCTCAAGCTTCACCAAGATCCAAAGAATAAGCTCTAAATTAAGAAGATAGGCTCTCAAACATGGATGGAGGTTAGGTTTTGTTTTGAAGGGTTAGAGGCTGAAGAGGATGCCCTAATCCTTGAGATTACGTTCTTACATATGGAAGAAACCCTAAAATCATGGACTTGGGCTGCAACCATTGCCACATCGTGGCATCCCTCTTGTCACATTGTGGCAGCCATCAAATGTGTGTTTCTTGAAATTGCAATGCCACGTCATGGTACTCCATTCTCCACGTCGTGGCACAAGGTTTTTCCCAAAAAACCTTACCTTTGATCCCTCAAGCCCTCAACTAATCTATTCTGGAAAATCAGACAAAAAAAGTGTTTGGCCATTAAATTACAATGTTATAGGTAGTAATCGTAACATAGTCTATATTGCAACTGACATCCAACAATATTTCAATTAAAAGTAGAAAACAACATTTTCATACAAACAAACGTGGTGTGCAAAATAACATGACTTAAACTTATGAAGGGCTCCCCCAAGAGGAATCATTTTCTAGACTCCCCTTGTACTGTTACAACTTTGAGAAGCATACTCCTGACAATGTGACATAATTTCAAACGCGTACTGAAGATCGATTCGAGTTCTTGTTCCTTTTAATTGGTTGGACGACAATCTTTGTTTTTTATATTTTCATATGTTTATATGGTATATTAACATATCATTTTTTTTATTTTCATTATTTCGTAGATATGGACATTCCTCAACCACCACATGATTGCCCTTGTGTTAGACTTACTTAAAGGGCAATTTCAAGGGCACCATGTTGTCAGCGGTTGCGATAAAGGAGAACAACCAAAATTTTCAGGTTGCATATGCATTATGGAAGAGTGAGTGTACATATACTTGGATTAAATGCTACAATGGCATAGCAGTGTACTTCAAACCTCATTAAACATCAATTTTAACCTTAGAAGACTTCCATATAGAATAATATTAAAGCGTATTCTTTAAATCCCCATCATAAAATTTTATGTCCCAAATTAACCTCCTTGATGACATCTTCCCGGGTAAAAAATCAAAACATATAACTAAAAAAAGCGGGTCTTACATCTAAATATCATTGTATTTAGGGAAAATGACACTATAGCACATTAAAGTTTTGGCATTTGTCTGATTTGGTCACTATTTTTTTGCACATTAGACCACGAAACTCGTTTTTGACCTTTCAATATAGTCATTTTCCCTGATTTTAATCGGTTTCCTGGTTGACATTGTATATGTGTCTATTAATATTTATTATTTGGCTAATCTGATGACACGTGAGATATGCCACGTCAATAAATGATATACGATGCTATCATCTTTTCCTGTCGATCTTTATTCTTTAATTTTCACTTTAAACAAAACTGAGCTAGGATTTGTGAACCATTTTTGTGATCGGTCTGAAGTAGCAAATAAGTCACTATAATGGCACAATCGAAACCTAATGGACTGTTTGCGATGGTGGAACTCAATTACCAAGGGGAATTTACTCGTAATCATTTCTCTTACACTGGTGGTGTGAAAACCATGGTCAATGATGTTGACTTTTCTTTTATGACTTATTCTGAGTGTGTGACCTTCTTCGAACACTTCATGCATGAAGATTGTAAAACGTTGTACTACGGTGAACCAGGCATTTCCCTTATGCAAGGGCATGCTGCTTTTATTTTTGATGCTTATGGAACAGATGGTATAATTTATGTTTATGTTGATCATATTGGAGTTGGTGTTGATGGGTGGTTTGATGATGAAGATAATGATGATGATGGACGTGACTCTTGTATTGATGGTGAAAATGAAGATAATATAGATGAACTTAGGAATGTTGAGTTGGAATTTAATGATGATGTAGTGCATATGAATATGACATCAAATGATCCTTTCTAGAGTAAGTTATGTGTTGATGAAGAGGAGGATAACAACATTATAGATGATGATAATGATGATGACGGTGATGATGATGATGATGATGATGATGATGATGATGATGATGATGGGAGAGAATTTGAATCTAACATCCAAACTCATTTCATATTTAATGAGTTATTACACTGAAAAAAACAAAAACCAATTCTAGGAATGAGATTTAAGGGTCCATGGCAAGTAAAATCAATGTTGTGCAACTATGTTGTTGCTAATGGATATGAACTATGTTTTGAAAAAAAATGATAGGAAAAGACTTTTGGTGAAGTGTAGTAAGATGCTTGCACATTTAGATTATGGGCTTCTTGGATGAGTGATGAAGAGAGTTTCCAAATCAAGTCACTAAAAGCTTATCATAATTGTGCTAGGAACTTCAAGTTAGGATCACTGGTGACATATGCATGGATTGGTAACTATACCAAAGAAATTATATAGAGTCAGAAAATGAGTGTAAGGAAACTTAGGGTTAAGGTAATAACCAAGTTTCGTATCCAAGTTAGTATGGGGAAATCCAGGAGAGCAAAGAAGTATACATTAAACCTTATTGAAGGTAGTCTTGTTGAACATTATGGTAAACTGTGGTCATATGGTCATGAGATTTTAAGGAAAAATCCAAGGTCAACTGTCAAACTTGATATGGAGACTGGTCCATATGGAAAAAAGTATTTTAGCAAATTTTATGTGTGTTTTCAAGGAGTGAAAGAAGGTTGGAAAGAAGGTTCTAGAAGGATAATAGGTATTGATAGTTGTTTTTTGAAAGGGGTTTGTAAGGGGGGATTGTTTTGTACAGTTAGGAGGGATGCAAATGACCAGATATATCATATTGCTTGGGCAGTGGTTTGTGTGGAGAACAAGCGGAATTGGAAGCGGTTTTTGGATCTGCTCATTGATGATCTGAATTTGAATTTAGGAAATGGATGCAGTTTAATGTCAGACCAATATAAGGTTAGTATATTATACAATATTACATTTCTATTTTTATTCAAAATTTTTACATATACCTTTTTATTAATACGCGGTTTGATTGGGGTTGTTAAAGAGTTGATGCCATATGTGGAGCATAGCCTGTGTGCTAGAAATATTTGCCAAAATTACATAAGAGATTAACATGTTCCATCTATCATACACTGTTTTGGAGAGCATCAAAAGCTATAACTGAGAATGCATTTAAAGTTGTGATGAAGGAAATTGAGACATTGAACCCAAATTCCCATTAATGCCTCATAGACAAAGATGCCAAGACTTGGTTAAGTGATTTATTTCAACCTGGCAGGTGTTGTGATGCTGTTGAGAATGGCTTCTCTGAGAGTTTTAATTTTGTAATAATATATGCAAGGAAGAAGCCTATTATTACCATGTTAGAAGAGTTGAGATTGTACATGATGGATAAATTTTACAACATGAAAGGGAAAGGACAACAATAGGGAAATCATATTTTTCCGGAGATAAGGAATAAGGTGAATTTACTTAAACAACTTCAAAGACATTTTCAAGTACTGTCTAGTGGATTAAACCAATTTGAGGTAAGGGAGCAGCAGAGGCATATGAGGTGGACCTGGAAAGGAAAACATGTTCCTATAGGTTGTCACAACTCGAAATTTTTAGATCAAGCAAAGCCTAAACCCTAACCAAGTACAAGTGTTACTACATTGTAATCCTTGTTGCTTTTTATCATTTATGGCCTTGAGGCTTGTTTAAAGAGTTAACAAAGAGGTAGAGATTAAAACCCAAGCTAAATTAGGGGAGTATAAATGAACATAGGTTGAAAGACCAAGGGTTTAAAACATAAATATAACCATTAAATGAGTTTTCACCCAAAGTAATTAATGGAATAAATGTGTTCACGGTCAAGCATTAACTCCAAAATGGAGTTTACGGTCTAAAAGAAATAAAGGGAAAGGTGTTTACGTATTTGGATTGCTTCAAATTGTGTTCACGGTTGCTTTACGGCCGAAAACACAAGTTCAAGGCCCAATTGGGGCGTAAACCCAAAGTGTTGAACCGTAAACACCAAAGCTCAAACCCATTATAAACCGTAAACACCCATATATATATATATATATATATATATATATATATATATATATATATATATATATATATATTCATCCGGAAACAATTTCATATCTCTCATTTTCCAGCCGTAAACACTCCCATATTTGCTCTCAACTACCATCCGTGAACCTTCATAAATTCATAAAACTTTGCCCAGATCTTCAAGTTTTCACCAAGAACATCAAGAACATTCAACCATATCTTCAAATCTTCAAACATCCACCAAGAACACACCGTGAACCCAATTATCCAACCGTAAACCCCTTTTTCAACCGTGAACCCATTGTCAACACTTCCATTTAATTCCAAATAATTATTGTAAGTCTTTCTTACATAATTAAAGTGTTGTCTAATACATTAGTTATTAATTACAACATTTATTTAATTTATTATTTAAATTAATATCTTATTAATTTACATACGACGTCGGGGATAATTATTTTTAGGATACGACTGTTGTCACGTATTCTAATCCGAGGATCACCATTAGCATTTCGCAACTCAAGCGATCACACATATTCGAGGTGAGTTCATACCCACAAATGGTTATAAGAACTCACATGGATATAACATGGCCTCGTTCACGTATTAATATACTTAACAAACAGTCATCAGGGTTAGTAACTATGTGATTACTTAGTATATACATCAAGGTGATATGAAATTAACATTCGACATGCAGTGGGATGTGTGACGACCTCCTCATTTCCTGTTCCTTGTTTGATTGTGGGCTTAGGGCAGAATCACCCAATCGACTGTCTGTTCGATCTAGATTTCTATAACTCGTATGTATTAAGTGATCATAGGAGGGTATTAACATCACTTCCAGTTTACAGAACAAACACGTTTTCGGCTAGTTTTATTTAATAATAAAGCTACACTTTAACAACTTAAGTATGGGAAAATACTTGTACATTACAGTTTTGGAACACTTAAGACAACAACTTACTTTTATGGAAAATATAGGATTTTTCAGGACAAACATCAGTATTTTACAAGCAAACGGTTTACCATTCAACTAACGAACAATCATTGTTAATTCTATAGTTCCTTAGTTTATACATCAAGGTTATGTATGAAGAATATCCGATAGGCAGTGGAATGTGTGGTTTCCACCTTATTTCATGTTCCTTGTTTGGTTCTAGGCTTAGGGCAGGTCCACACAATCAACTGTCTGTTCGATCTTGGTTTATATATAACTACTATAAACTAAGTGGTCATAAAAGAAACTGGTATTATCATATTTCTTACTCAGAAAATATAGGATTTTCTGAAGGAACATATTCATCACATTTTAAAGGAGCATTACAGTTAGCTCTGTAAGTACTCAGCGAATACGTTAGGGTTATATACAATGAGAATCCGACATGCAGTGGAATCTATGGCTTTCCGCCTCATTTCCTGTTCCTTGTTTGGGTGTGGGCTTGGGGCAGAACCACACAATCAATTGTCTATTCAATCTAGATCGTATATAACTTGTATATACTAAGTACTCGTAGAAGGAACTAGTACGAGTCATTTTACTTATCATTTATTACATCAGAAAATATAGGATTTTCTGGAGAAACACATCATGTTTTATAAAGAACAAAGAACTTTTTTTCTAAAACAAAAAGCTTATGAACTCACAAACTTTAATGTTGACACTTTCAAAACCACTTGTATTCTTAGGACACTAGTAGACAGGTACACGCACAAGTTCCTAGAAGGCGGAGCATAGTAGCTTCAAGTCTTTAATTTGCTATTTACTTTTGGAGTCAATCTTATATGATTTGAATACAATGTAAACATTTAATATCAATTCAATGGTTGTTGTTGCTTTGATTACTATTATGCAATTATTGTGATACTGTACATGTCGTCCTCCGCCCCCGAACGTTTCCGCCGTTCCGGTTTAGGGGTGTGACAGATTGGTATCAGAGCATTGTTTATAGTGAACTTAGTATATCAACCTATAAAAGATATACAACTATAAATACAATGGGGCCGAAATGCTCTGACTAAAAGTATACTTTTAAAATATAGGTATTTTATGAGAAGTATACGAACGAGCATACATTCTAAGAACAAGTATCACAAGAAGAACAAAACAAAAGTATTTAGATGTTGGACACTACAATCAAACCTAGGCAGTTATGTAATCATATATGGGATCAATATAGCCTGATCAACTATATTTATTTGAGATACGACCAACATGTGTTTGGGAGTGATAGTGGTGTAGCAACGAGTCAGAAACTTACCAACCCTATATACAAAGGATCTATAGAACAAAACATAAAGTTAAAATACTATAGGAGTATTTTAGGCACTATAACTAACTTATGTGAAAACTAAAAGACCCTTACTGGCAGGTCTATAATTGCGAAGTGTATGTTTCCAGGGTTATATATAATTGGGATCTTATAGACTTAGAATTTGTGATCTTCGCTCTACTACTTGTTCCTTGTTTGGTTGTCGTTTTAGAGTAGGATCACTTATTCGAAGGTCTATCTGATCTTGGTTATATAAAACTTGCATGCACTGCGTAGTTATAGGAGGACCCAATTTGGATCACCAAAAACTTCAAAAGAAATGTTTTACTTAATCTCATAGATCCTTTAGACATTCCCATTTTCGCACAAACAACACAGGTAGATATAGCCACTCCACCACAACAGCCAACAAAGTAGACTAGGAAGAACAAGAAGGGATTCATGGGGAGGATTCCAAGAAGGAATTATACGAGGAGTCAGACTTTCCATCATGAAGTGATGGAGATCAGTGACAAAACTCGAAGCATGACATAGTAAGGATTCAACACACCTACGAAGAACAAGAACACCATAGGAAAGTCTAGAGACAATAAATTCCCACAGCTGAAACCAGGGCAATCATAACTAGGACAGAGAACATAGGAAACCACTCAT